GCATCAGCCTATTTTACTCCATCCTGTGGCAATCGGATTTATGACTGCAATACCGTGGTAACTGTAAGCATGCCCTGCAAGTCTCCAGGTGTCCCACTGGATAAACCCCTCTTTTCCAAACAGGAAAAGCTGCACCAGGGAAGCAGCAGCAGAGGAGCATAGCAAATGAATTCACTTTGAGCATCTCTTGTCAATTAAAATTGCTCTATAATATCCTATGGCAGAACTGATATTTTCTTTGAAGTGAGCTTGAATTCTCTTTTGACACAAATTAGCACTTGTGGCTATTTACTCCTATGTCAGCTCAGTATTTTGTTCTGGGCTTTGTGGTGAAATTTTTCACGAGGCCTGAGGAAACTGGAGGTTTTCCAGACATGACTTTGAAAGTGAAATATTATTTCGGTAAATGTGAGAAGATTGGTAAATCCAGAAGACATTTTCTTATGTATTCATTGGAATTTAGTTTCCATTTTGTCTTTCAGTCTCATACAACTTTGGACAAATAAGAGTTTTCTACCTAAGTATTTATAGTTTCTATAGGTACTAAGGTCAGAATTGCCTTGACTTGGTTTGTTACGGAATATTTATGCTGTGTCATACCGTCTATTTTCTATATGACACTCCAGAATAATAAAATCACTTGGAAAGCAATCAAAGCAGTCAAGTAATCTCTTTTGAAATTTGCAAATCACAGATTTTGCCTTCTAGTATAGCTTTGACTACAAAGTCTGTTTTGCAAAACACTCTGCCCCCCTCCAAAGTATCTAGACTTCTAATTATTCAAATCATTTTAGAAACGAAAATCTGTAACTTTTCTGGAACATTTTAAAAACAGCCAATGTATGCTACACACTGATCATCATATGAAAAATTTTCCGCAGCAGGGATTTATTACAAAGATGGAGCTAAAATTTGTCAACAGGAAGTTCTTTAACAATGAGATATGAGTAGTGACCTGAATTTCTTATGATTCTGAAACTTGCATTTTGCCTGTTTATGTGTTTTGGCTCAGTTGATAAAAGTTAAGCACAGCCAATTCTGCAGCTGAATCACATCAGTGGGTTCTTTGGAGGCAGCGATGCGACCAGAGTACTGCTGAATGCCAGCAATGCTCGACTAGCATGGAGGCTGCTGGAAACTCATGCCAGTCACCGTCCATCAAAGTAGCTTCAGGGCTGCTCCAGCCTGGGCTGAGTGCTAATTGCCTCCTGGCAGTCTCGTGGGATAGATACAGTCATTCTGGCTGCCTCTGCCATCTCAGGCCCCAGTCACAACACACCTGGGGCCACCCCTAAGGATGAGAACCTGCATGCACCAGAAGGGAAAATCACTGTGCTTTTCCCTGCAAAACAGAAGAAATTCGATCACATGGACATCTGGTTTGAACTAGTAACACACAAGCAGCTGTATGAAACAGGGACCATGTCTTCACAGCATTTACTTCTAAAAACTGATTTGGACTTTGGGTAGTACTATAAAATAATATCTCTCCTGAGTAAGATCACACTTAAAAACCGATCATGTAATTTTCTGCCTTTTCTATGTCTAGCCAAAAGTACTGCTTTTGTACTTCCACAGCATCTGCTATCGGAATATATCAGTCGACTAAATCTCACATTGCTTGTTAAATTTTAATCCATTAATGAATGCAAAGTCAAGGCATAAAGAAATTATATATATAATGAATACTAATGAGTATGTATTTTAAGATTATTACATTCCATGTACTTATAAACTCTTTTTAAGAAATAAAGTCAAAAGAAATAAGGTAACTTGTGTTTCCTATTTTTTCTGAGAAACAAACCTGAATATTCAATTATAGTTATTCTGTGAATCAGTTTACAGCAATCAGCAGATATAATTTTAAATATGAAAATGTTATTCATGCATATTACAGTTCCAGGCATATATTATCCTTTCCTGAAAACATTTCAATCTCCCAGTCTTTATGCAAAAGCCAGGCCCATGGGCTCTGCACAGGATGTAAATTAAGTTCTTGTTTGGCTAAATCCGATTACCCTGTAGGATACCAATCTTGCTTAGTGATAGTGGAAGCTAAAAATTGCAAGCAGAGCAGTTCCCTTAAAATGGGGCCAGGAAGGGTCAGCTTCTAAATAACAAATCAGAGTTTTGAACTAGATTTTAAATTTATCCCTAAGAATGATCAGTTAAACATAGAAGTTGTCTTCTCAGTAGTTGCTACTTTTAAAACTCCTAATGAAATTGAGAAATGCATTATTTTTTTTTAAGATGTACAGTTCTTTATTAATCATAGTCACTTCAATCCAATCTTGAGCTAGTCTGCCTCTCAAATACGTGCTCTTACTCCTCTCATATTCTATCAAAATTAATGCTCCAATAGAGAAATTCAGTGAATAGCAAAAACCCCCAGGGCTTATCAGAACATAACCACCCCAAGTCAATACAAACTATCTAAAATTATTTGAATATTATCACAACACTGTTGCTTTATTATGCACTTACTGAGCAGACAGATTAGAAAGGCACATGCTGACACCACTAAATATGAAATACTGTTATTCCTTCTGACAGGATTAGCTGAATACCTAAACGATAAGAACACTCCCCTGTATTTTTCCTATACACAGAAAATGTGCACAGAAAAGTCACTCTTTGATCTATTTCACTGGCTTCAGTTACTGTAGCAGGTCTCTGTATACATAAACAATTTATTTTTAGTAGTCTGTGGCAGTTCCTTATTCTTCCTTTGATGTATAAAGGATTTACGATCAATAATATCTGAAAGCAGCTGGCATTATTACAACTCCTCTGAGTCAAGAAAAAAAGTATCAAAAGTAATGCAACGCTGGCAAAAACAATATGGGTTTTGGCTGTTCAGAAAATGTAATTATCTCAGTAAATGTATGTGGTTTTGGTAATAAGACTCAAAATTTCGGATGGATTATTTTTAATAACTTCTCTTCACAGTGGCTTTATTAGATATTCTAAATCAGAGCTCAACACTTACCTAATAAATACCTCACTCCTTCGATAGGCTTTAGATGAAGGGACCCAGCACCCCACACAGACCCTTAACGAAGGCAACGCCACAAAGGCAGGAACTTCAGCTACAAGCAGCTCAGAGCAGAATCCTAGCAGGATGCATCGTATGCTGACTATATTTGTGGGTGACCGACAATAAAATTACACGTTCAGAAAACAGTTTTAACTGTGAATTGACTAAAGGGCAATTCAAACCTTCCATCTGAATTCCTACATCTCCCCCCATGCTAACAGCAGAACACTCAGATCTGCATGATGAGGCATATTCATTCAACTGACCCCTAACACTTCTCCTTGGATTAGTTGTAGTAGTGAATCAATTTCCTGATCTGGTGCAGCAGGCAGACACAAAAATGTCCGTGTTAATAAAAGTGAGCAGTTCAGAAGATGAAAATGCTTCTTTTGATTGACCTCTACCCACTTAAAGCCTATGTGAAACCACCTTAGGGATCTTATGCGTAGGCTGTCAGGACACACAGCTATCACCCACCAGTCCAGGGGGGTTCTGATCTCTGCCTTGCAGGGATATTTTCTTAGATTAGCCAATCAGTCTTTTACATCAGAGCTATTTATTAAAGTGTACATTTGCATTGTGGTCAAAGCTTATATACTGTGAGATACGATTTACTGTAAAGCCCTGAAGAATTACATTACATACCTGCAGTAGTCTATTTAAAAAAATTATTTTCCTGAAGAAACATGGCATTGTGTAACTTTTTAATATATACCTTTTACAGTACTGATGCAGTAAATAACGTTCACAACTAATATTTTCCTAGAAGTTTTGGTTATCACCTCAGCAAGTATTATTAATGACTGGTTTCATATACTAATAACTCAACAGTTAAAACCACAATTCAGTGACCATTTTAGCCCCAATGAAATGGTGCGATCTGCTACTCTATCATTAATATTTATTTAGTCTTGCAAAGGAATTATTGCAGTTGATACTGACAAAGCTCTTTCTGCTCCAGCTGAAAAAGCCTGTGAATAAATCATGTCATGTTTAGATACGAAAACCAGGTCAATGGCTACTGAACTGGCACTTCCAAAAGCAGAACCTTCCCTACAGCATAGCTTTAGGAGAACACACTTCATTTGACAGCACACATGCTTTTTAACAGAATTCTCTGACAAGGTATTGTATCAAAAAAATCATTTAACTGTATAAATAGTCAGGGAGAACATTCTGAGGAATGGAACTTCTTTCAAATTATAGATCCATGGCATAACATTTTAACTTCATTTAAACCAACCTCCTTCCAATTGATGTTACATACTTTGAGGCCAGAAAACTCCCCTTCAAGTGCCTCAGAGAAACTGGTGAGAATCGCCCATTTTTTGAAAGAAATGAACCAGTAGAAAGCAGTGTGTGTTAGTACTAATGTTCTCCTCCACACAACCAAGTATCAGTTTCCTTTTCTACCAAGATTAAGTGACTGACAATACATCTTTTATTGTCCAGCAACTAAAATCTTTAACCTATGATTGGTAGAGGAACTCTTGTCTATAGGGGGCATAATTCTTTTAATTAAAACAAAATTGTCCAAGAAGATCCTATTGCATTAGTAATTTATAGAAAATCCTATCTTAAATCTTTATTAAAAATAGGAAATAATCACACTGATGATTACTCTAAATTGATTGTATGTATATTCACAAATCATACTTGTTCCTTCAGCCATGTTGTATTACTTGTGGATAGCAACTGCCCCAGACAGACAACTGCTGCAAAATGACGCTTTTTTGTCTTTATATACTAACATAGTTGGTGGAGACATTCTCTGACCAGAGTTCAAAGTACAACAGACTGAATCACATTTAGGAGCTATGACTCTAAAAATGTGACAGTTGCAATCCCTTCCATTTAACATAAACAAGAAACACCTCTGGATAGTTTTCTCAGTTGTATTTTGGTTGGGAAATATTTAGATATTCTTGCAATAAAAGGTAAAGGAAATCTACATAGCAGTTATAAATTAAGCCCAATGGCAACTTTTATTTACATAGTTTAACAAACAGATTCAAGCAATTATTACATTAGTCATTCGGATTCTGAGCATCACCATAAACAACAAGTTTATAGCAGGCCTAGCTAGTGTTGCATTCTTCATGGAGCTGCGATCACCGATTTCCAACATTTTTCTTTTTCCAACGAAGCCGCCTCAGAGCTCTTGCCAGTGCTACTTGTCCCATGAGGAATGTGATAGTAAAGTTACGTTTATACCAATCTCTAGGATTCCAAAGCCAGGAAAATCATCAGCACGCAGAACAAGAACAGGAGAAAGGCACATGATTATATTAAAATATCCTTTGGAATTGACAAGTGACAATTCAGTGACAACATGCTTTTCCATTCTTTGTGGCAACAATTTTCATGCCTAATTAGAGTTAAATAACCTATAAAAAGGTTTATGAATATCCACATCCATGAACAGATTACATGTAGACTGTAGGGCTATAACCATTGAGAACTTAACTGTAAAAAAGTTAAGGGATGGGTAGTGTTATGACCAATTGCATTTGGAATCAGGTAAGATAAAATAATTGTAACCATGTCTCAGAAGTAAAGCAGATCAGCAAACTACCTAGAAGAATTTCCTACCAGTGCTGTGCTACGGGTAGGATTTGTTTGTGCATGTATGAAAATGCATGTGTTGGCAAGGGCACAGCTGGTCACCTATAAAGGGGAGAAAAATAAAATGACACTTCAAAGACTAACTGTATAACCCAATACAGGAAACATTAGGTTTCTAACGCAGTACTCTTTAAAGATGATGCCTTTAATATTGCCAGACTTAGTGTTTAATATCTTTAAATAGTTTTTAGGCAGCATGCATGACTTCTGGAGCCAATTCAAGATACAGATCAGATAGTCTGTATCGACCTCTGAGAACTTGCTTCAAATTCTTGCCCCTGTTACAAACTAATTTCCTAATTTCTTTGTAATTTCCAACAAGGATCACTCCCCCATTTTGTAAAATGCTGCAGAAACAATAGAATATACTTATTGTAGAACTAGGAGGGAATATTAAGGGATTTAGGTCTTCTCTTGAGATGTCTGTGGAAAACCTTGCATGTACAGATCTAACATAAACTTGAGATACTAACTTCTCAGTAAGGATAGTGGCCAAAATTATGCTGACAAGCAGCACTGATCTACCCCCTGAAATGTCATGTTAAATCACAATATCACGCTAACATTGCAACTGCTTCTTTTCCCCTTTCATGTCTTATTTCCTATACCCTTCTTGAATTTTTTTTTCCTAAACTACACTGTATTTCCAGTCTAAGTATCCTGAACTAAATATTCATGGTGTCTATGCACAGCCATTGTTTCAATTTTAACTAGATTTTAGAATTTGCAACACTTCAGCAGCCGCAGTTTTCAGGCCAGCTGGCAACACTGCAAAAGAACATACAGCTGAATGCATAACCAGATTTTTATAAATACGACCCCTCAATCAGAATGCCTGTTAAAAACTCCACTGATTTCAGGGCTGTGCAGTTCCACTTTGAAACTACAACGATGCAGCTTACACTACCCGATTTTACAAGGCAGCAACAAGGAAGGTCATGTTTAGGCGCAAAGCCTGAACTCTCTTACCACGAAGACGGGACGCTATCCCAACGTCACTACAACAATGGCATCTGGTGACCAGTTTTAAGATAACCTATTTGGTTTCTCACTCATCAGTTACAGGCAATTTGAACAACAATCCTCCTATTAAAAGAATTTTTTACTTTCCATCTTTTCATGCTGTTGTCTAGGTTTTTAGTGAGGTTTCACGCCCTGCCACCCCCCCGTGGGCAAGACAAGATGTGCATATTTGTTTTAAATATTTGTTAAAGTAAAATTGTACTTACAGTATAGTGTTATGGTATATGCACAATACATACAAAGAATCCTAAACCACAATTTGTTGTAGATCAGTTATAGTGATGGTAGAATTCTCACTAGCATTATACCATTAGGAACCCACTAACACTTGACACCTTTGAGCCCAATAATCTTTCAATCCAATGCAGAGAAGAAACTGAAGTTGTGTTTTCATGTTCAGTGGACAGTGCTACTGTAACTGGACTAAGTACTCTCCTCCTCCAGCTTCTCATTCCTTGCCCTCTACCAAGTGTGCACAGCTACTAGCAGGGTAACATGTGTTTGCAAGTCATTTTTCAGTTGTTCCAGATCCCAAATCGTTCTATCAAGTTACTGTACAAACAGTAATGCTGAAACAATGCAGCAGATGCTGTGAAGAGGCATGGAGGACGGGGGCTTATCCAGTTATAGCCGAGGTTCTACATAGGATGAGTTCACGTTATCATTTTACTAATGCTTCACCACACAAGATGACCTCAAACTCAAGGCTAATCACTTTCATTTTTACTGTGTGCTTGCAAAATAATATAGCCAAGAATACTAACTATTATCCTCATTAAACCATTTTCCTTTGAGATTAATCACATTTACCAGTCCTTATTTACCAGTCAACTATATATAGAAATTTCAACTGGTTTACTTGCATATTTATCAGTTTCAATTAGCAGCATGAAAAGACCCATGCTGTAAGAGGAAAAACTGAGACAAGATCAGGCACTCAATCTCAGACATGATATTCATCTCTCCACTACATCAACAATAAGCAGTAGAACTCAAATGATAATGCAAATTTCTGTCAAATGCTAATAATAGCATTTAAAAAAACCCATTTTCTAAAATGATAGTTTTATGTGCAGCTTTACCAATTATGGAAAAAAAAGTTCACATTTTAAATTTGATCCTACACCTTTCACTTAGTCCGTAATGTATAATAGCCAACATAAATACCTTCTACATACCTGTTATACTGCATATGCTTTCTAAAATTTTTACTTAGAAAGTCCTTGTAAAAGTCAGCCATTTCTTCTGCATTCAGTGTTGCTTTTTGACCTGAAAATAAGTTTTGGCATAACAATGTCAAGATAATTCTTTGGATTAAAACACTGGCTTCAGATGCAGGAGAGCTAGGTCTGACTCCTTGTTCCTACAAGCTTCCTGTGTAACTCTGAACAAGTTAATATGCTTTTATCTTCCAACTTTTTAAAACTTATCTAGGGAGCACAGCAGATTAAAAATACTGATCATCTTGAAACTTATTACTTGTGAAAGTGATTATGTTTATCAGATTTTTATTATTTAGGGAACTGGTAGACCCCCTATAAAAAAAATCCATAGATCTAGGAGTATCTATCCTTTGAATAAAATTAATCTCTCATGGGGCTGAAGTCTAAACAGCACCAGTAAAAGCACTTAGTAACTTAAATTTTCCCCCTAAAGCAAGTCCATATATACAGAAAGAACACTATCCATGACTGACGTGATATTTTCAGATGTATATTTTTTTCTCTTGCTGTTGATAAATTTCAAATAACTAATACTAAAGAATGTATATTATTAAATCTGACATCTCAGAACATAGTAGACAACTATTTTGTGAAGAAGCACGTACAAAAAATGACTTTGAATATGCCAATCTCATAAGCAGAATATAAGAGGAGACGGATTCTCTCCACAGAACTTGAAAACCTGTGGCTACAGCACAGGTGAAGAATCCTGAGAACCAACTCTACCAGATAATTCCTATACAAACCTGGCACTTTCAATGTTTCTGAAATGAAGGTCAAATTTGAATGTCCCAGGGAACAGGGATATGATGAGGGAGCTGGAATTGTGATATTCATCTTGCTAATGTTCCAAAATGCATTTTAAAACTCCTGAGACTGATCGTAGAAGTGTAAATGATGACAAATAGAACTGATCAGTAATTTACAAATCTAATATATAACAATGGATTACCATACTATGGGATAAATTTACTCTAAGACTACTTGAAGGCTGCCTACTTCACACCTACAGTTAATTTCGTTGTTCATACTGGTATCAACAGAACTGATCGTAGATTCACTTTTATGTAAGTTTTGTTCCAACAGTTCATGTATATTGTTATTACTCTTATTTATGTATACACACAGAGCTGTCTCACAGAACAGAGTTAATCAACACATGCAGCCAATATAATTTTATTTCTAAGGGATGTACATGCTTACTATTTTTTATTTCTAGGGTATAAAAACAAAAACCCAAAAAGGCAATACAAAAGAAGCATGTTCTAAACACCACCGAATTTAATTAGAGTTATTTCTCAACCACACACTGATCACCAGGATACAAACAGAAGAGAAAAATAATGGCCTGTGATATACAGAAGATCAGGGCAGTTGCTTGACTAAGCTCAAACAGATGATTAGTCTATGAACAAAATGTTCAACCTCATACTACAATGGCTAATTCACTGTTGTTATGAAGGCATCTTGTTATCAGTTTCACATAATGACTGAGAGAGGCAACTATTTTACGGCAACTGCACTCAGGCAAAGACAGGCAGATAGCAGCTGCTGTCTCCTCAGAAGCTGTCTTATTCTCCCTCAAGGAAAAATATTGCATTCACTGTATACACTATGGACCTGAAGCCAAGGAGCGTGAATTTATCCACCCAACCATAATACGCACTTGAAGCAAATGCTCTGTATGTTTAGCTCAGCTAGCTCACTAGGTTAGGAGGTGTGAGAGGAAAAAGCCCTTTCCTCCTCAGACTACAGAATGGTTATATTACTTGGCTAGGATTTCAGCACATTCCCTCCAGCTGCGGGGAAGGAATTAGGGGAAGAACAGTGCAACAGATGATCTGACCCCCACATGCACATATCTGAAGAGCTCCTCCCCCCCTTTTTTTTTTAATCATGCTCCTGAAAACACTTTTAAATCCTACTCTCAAGATTTAGTTGTGACAGAACACAAAGAGCATAAACTAACAACATTCAAAGTTAAACAGAATTCAGAATGCATCCTAAACTATAAACAAAGATCTCACTAACCTGTTTCATCTCTCATTTCCAGACCCTTGGCTTTCAGTCTTGAATAAATAAACTCTTCTTTTTCCTAAAATATGTTTTTCCATATTAGAATCTGATGTAGTCAGTCCTTAAAGTTAACCATGGTTTTTAATCACATAGCAGTGTCGCACTTAATACCCTCTGAAATAACAAGCAACTCATTATACTTGGAAATGTCAACAAAATGCTTTCCTGAATCCAGTGACCTAGTTAAACCGGTAACTTTGTAGTGAGATCTTACTACCTGCATGCATCAATTAATTCATGTAAGCATTCTACTGAAACATATAAAACTTATTTATGGAGTAAAGTTACAGCTGAGCTTCAGTATCATTTGACAGGACCCATAAGACGAACTGCGAAGATTTGCTGTATTGTATAACTGAGAATTTGAGCATAGAGAAAAACATGCAGCCTTAAAAAACTGAAATTACTTAGGTGGAAACAGTAATTATTTGTACATAAGTTTTTCAAACTTAGAGAGCAGTTCTATGGAATTAAAAAAACGAGCTTCATTTTCTCTGAGATCTTCGCAAGTTTTGGGAGGATATGATGATCAAAGATCACCACAAATGATGGTGAATTACTGAACCATTACTGTTCTTCCAACAAAATTCAGTGTAACCAATGCTGTCATCAGGAAAGACGACAGACCATGACTTAAAAGCCCCCACTTTTAGCCTTGCTGGGGTACACTGCCAGTGCAACAGGGCATGTTCCTCATTTACCCTTGGTGATTACACCCAATTTCTCTCACTTATGACAGAGCAAGAAGAGGTACAGGATCATTTTCAACAGCCACTCTAGTCACAGACAACTCCTGCACAGAGGGCGGCTACAACTTTATATTTTCAGTGCAAGATAGGAAAAAGGCAAATATCATTACATGCCACTAAACAGCAACAAAATATGCAGGCTCTTTAGTTTTGTACGTCATTTTAAAGAAATGAATGACAAAAAAGTAATTTCCACAAAGACACTATGTGTATTAAAAGAAACACTATCAATTACCAGCCAGTAACAGTGGGCGGAACTGAACCCTACCTCAGGAGAACAAACCCCCTGATTTTGGGTGGGCGGGCGCAGAGTGACACCGGGCATCACGGCGGGCTCACCTGGCGGAAGGTGCGGTTGTGCTGCGCCCAGAAGTGCTGGTCGCAGGCCTGGGCCTCCTGCCGTGCCTCCCGCAGACGCCGCTCCAGGGGCGACTCCTCAGGGGGCACGTAGAAGATGACTGGCCGCAGGTTGGAGTGCTTGTCAGGGGGACCGATCCAGTCGTTACAGGAGTGTGCGGGGGGGCTGAAACCCAGACCCTTGGAAATACAGGCAGAGTTCATTATGATCACGTTAGCAGTTTTTGAAGAACATCCCGATTTGAAATAAATTACAAAACGCAACCTTAAAACATATAAGCAGAACAAGTTCAGAAATTATGTACATTCATTTATCCTGACTAAAAACTATGATATGTTTAAAATTGACTTTTATTTAGAAATACGCTACAGAGAAGATATCTTTAACTCTTTTCCAACAAACACGATTTTTTTTAAAAGCAATTTTTTTTTGTTGTTTTTGTATCACTGATATTCCACTTCATTAAAATATTTGATGGCAAGAACTAGCAAGTATGTATGTCTTCCTAAATGCTGCTTTCTTCGTGCAACCTAAACACGCAGAAGCGTGTGGCTGTTCAGACCAAGCTGAGGAAGACTTGGCTCTAACAGCCCGTAACTTACCGCTCCGTGTGTAAAAGCGTTTTACTCCCCTTGTGCCTGAGCGCAGGCCTGCTGTTTACAAACACAGAAATACGTAATACATAAACCACTAGAGGCCGCGGGAAACTCGGACTTTGATCGGGACGCATCCGCCCAGCGGCACTGAGAGTTACCGCGGG